TATTTGATGTCTTAGGTACCTTTTTTAAATGAAAATTTCTTTTTTTTGAAATAAGAAAATATCTTTTTATATTTATATAATTACTAAAAGAGATCAAATGTGTAAATTATGAATTATATTAGATAATCCAAAAATTAAATATATAATTAATTTAATTTTATGATTAATTGAGATGATTCTAATCAATACAATTTTTTTTGATAAACGATGTTCATATTATATGCCTTAAAATAATTTGTAGGAATAAAATATTTAAGAAAATAGGAATTTATAAATTGACCCCACAAAAGTATATGCTTTGAAGGGACTTGTATGCAAATAAAGAACCTAACTCCTTTGAAAATGAGTTTTAAAATACGAAGCGAAAATACGGCCCTATGTGCTAAAACTACCGATTTTAGAAGAAGAAAAAAAGGAATTTTTAGAACAAGCTATTTGGAATAAAATTCCGATTTTAATTTGTAGCTTTTGAGGATTTTAGAAGAATTTCAAAATTATGAAAATCCGAAATCAGATTTCTAAAAAGGTGAAAATACTGAAGTCAACGGATAGTGAATTTTCATTTGACTAAGTTTTTGCAATTAAAGGATGAGATGTTGTTCCAAATGATAATAAATATGAGATTGTATTTTTGGGAGGTTTTAAAGTAATTTTCGAAACGTTTTTCTTGGGTTTTTTTTTAGCGAAAAAAACTTAGTAAAGTCAATGAAGCTAATTTAAAGAAACATTTCAATTTTAGTAAGCCTTTCTTACCTGTCACACCAATATAGCCTCATTCATTGAGTGTTCTGGGTCCAAGAGAAACAAACATTTAAATCGGCTTTGAAACTCTTTTTTGTTGTTTTTTTCTTAGGGCATCAACTTCTTTTCGGCACCTTGTTGTAGTCCAGAGAGTAGGGCTGCAAACGAACCGAACAGTTTGTGAACGTTCGTTATTCGTTCGATTACTGTTTGATAATGTTCGCGAACACTTGTTCGCGAACAGTTCGATAGTTTTCGATAATATGTCGATCGAGTTCGAACAGGGTTGTTCTTTCGATTATGTCGTCGAACACTATAAGTTCGACTAATCCATCCGTTCGATTGTTCGTTTTATGTCCGAAAAATATGTTATGCATTATTATAATTAAAAAAAATTTCATTTTTATATTATGTTTGATTAGTTTAGATGAATTTTTTTTAATGGTATCAATAATAAATATTATATGCTTTTGTTTTTCTTATATATATAATTGTTTGAATTTTTTTTGCCAATGTCATCAATATTAAATATAAGTATATAGAATTAATTAAAAAGTAATAATTATATGATACATAGCATGACAAATTAATAACATAATAAATTGTATAATCAAGTGATATATAATATAGTAAATCCAATAATATATAGTCTTCATATTTTTCTAAATGTAATCAATAATTAAATATTATAGATAGCATTTCAATTAATAAATAATAAATATAGTATGGTAAATTGATAACATAACATATGTATAATCAATGATGTATAGCATACCAATTTAATAATATAATAGTTTAATTAAACCTAAATTAATCACACTTTGTATTGATCATTTATTCCAATAAACTCTCATATCATTATGAATTTATAGGTGTTGGTCAAGAATAATATGTAGACAGTAATGATAATAATATATATATATATATATAATATATATATATATATATATATATATATATATATATATTATATATATATATATATATAATATATATATAAAATTAATCACACATATGTATTGGTCATATATTACAATAGATTTTCATTCCACTATAATTTATGGGTGTTGATATAAAATATATATGTAAACATTTAAAATATTTATGATAATTCTGTAATGATAATAAATATATGATAACCTATAATTTTGGTAATTTCATAACATATTTAACCTATGATTAATATATGTATGATAATAATTTTGTATAACACAATTAACAATTATATATAACAAATTAATCACACATATGTATTGATCATATATATAATAGCCATCATTTCACTATGAATTTAGGGGTGTTGATACAAATATATATATACAACAAATTAATCACACATATGTATTGATCATATATTACAATATATTTTATTCCACTATAAATTTATGAGTGTTGATACAAATAATAGTAAATATTTAATATTTAGGATAATTTATGTAATGATAATAATATATATATGTAAACAAATTCCTTTTGTTTGTGTCATGTTTGATATGGAACTAAATTTGTTTTAACGATTTATTGTTCTGTTAATTTGTTTTGAAGTTTTATTATTTATGATGATTAGTTATTTTATTTAGTGAGTTTTTATTGATTTGTTAAATATAAATATGATAAGAGTTGGTTTATTTTCAAATATTATTAAATGTTATGAATTATAAATTGTTGCATATTTGTTTTTTAGAGCATGAATTGGAAAGTTAGTGTACATTTTTTTATTCGAACAAGTTATTCGAACATGTATTTACAAGTTATTGAACGAGTTATTCGAACAGGTATTTACAAATTATCGAACAAGTTGTCGAACAGTATTTACAATTATCGAATAATTATCGAAGAGTTAGTCGAACGTATTTACAAATTATCGAACGAGTTAGTCGAACGAACAAGTTAGTCGAACGATGTAGTCGAACAAGTTAGTCGAACGAACACGAACGAGTTACGACGAACACAACAAGCTTTTTGTTAATCGAACGAACACAAACACACATCTGTGTTCGTTCGAACACAACACAACACGAACAATCGAACATGCTTTCGAACGATTTCGAACGGGCCTGTTCGTCATGTTCGGTTCGATTGCAGGTCTACCAGAGAGGATAGCCAAGTATCATCGGTCACCGACAACCGATCAATGACACAACACAAGTGGTACCTTACCATTTTATGTTAATTTGTTATTAATATATTTTTCACTATTTTATTTGATTTTTTATTATCTTGATTTTAACTCATATTTCTTTATTTTATTAATCTAAATTGATAGATACACTGGATTAAGGCAATAATAGTGCATTATCATTTTATTTTTATCACAGAGGGAAGCCAGATGGTCCATATCAGAAAAAGTGCACTAATTGTTCATAAATTTACTAACCCAGAACCCAATTTATAGCAAGTCAGATAAATCTTGAATTTTGCCGATTATTAGTTATCTGTTGTATGATTTCTTCCCTAAATTTACAAACTCATTTTGTTCTATTTCTCCTGTTTGTTTTGGACTAAATACAACTCTAGACTCCCTTCACGGAGAAACGAAATGCAACTACTCTACATCAAAATTATAAATGAATTGTTTTCGTCTTGTTCAGCTTGGATCATGTGTAACCCCTTTTTTAGCTCATACTCGATCACAGACTCATCAAATTACCTGAGTAAAGCTCAGGCAATAAAACTTAAGAATAAAGAGATATATACCAGATTTAATTAATATAATCCCAACTCATTGGCATCTTAACTGCCCAATTCTATCTAATGTTGTTTTCTAGAGGTTATTATCTAAGATATAACTATCAGTTAAAATGTTGATATATAAGTTCTTAATTTGAACTGGCTCAGAGTTTTTTTAATTTGAAATCTTCCACACCTGTACAAAAACCCGAGTTTGAAACTCCGACGAACCCTATTATTGCTGGAAGCGGTTAAATAAATTTTACTGACCATACAAGTGCCAATGAGGGGACTTTGAACTGTTCTCGGTTTACGTGTAACAAACTTCAGTTCTCAAATTTGGACCGGCATTGTAATAATAGCAGTCTTGAATTTGTTATCTGCAGACTGTAGGAAAAACAGACAGAATTCTGGGGTAATTCACTTGAAGGAGACATGGTCCCAACTGCTTTCAATTTAACATGGTCTCTAAGTCTAACGGTACTCTTGCCAGAGTATGGGAGAGAGACATTGATCACAGATGAAATAAATCGTCTCATTCAATGCACTCAACCACCCAAAAGCCTCAAATTCAATTCTTCCATCACCACAACCGGTCCCATTCTTTGAAGTAAGTAAAGTTATTTACTTTCTCATTCTTTTCCTTTACAAAATTCCATATTCATTTAAACATTCAAACTCTTGCAATTATAGCTTTCCCTATTAACACATTCTTTCTTCCTCTGCCTTTCTCACTAACACCAGTGTCGGGTGAATGTTATTTATAACTCATTAAACTTTGGATTTTGATAGTCTGTGTTGAACAATATTTTATTTTAGACACACAGAATGTGAGTTTAGAGGTGGTTGTAGTGTGGTGTTTTGGAGTTTAATCATGAATCGTAAAATGAATGGCTTCAATGTAGAAGAAGATAAAGTGCAGCTGATGAGAAAGAATGGAAGTTCTTTGTTACGTCCCTATGTTCATACCCAACACAGGCGATCTAAGGGGTGCATTATTTATTTATTATTCATTATTTTTTCTTTTATCGCTGTTTTGTGGCTGGTGGTGGATTTTATTGTAAGTCACCGAACTTGTAAGAATTCATAACGTGTTAATGAGCTTCAATGGAGGATTTCTGTAGGTTCTTTTTCTTGTATTTTGAACTGTAGTTTATCTCAATTTATCTTAATGACCATCTTGTTTAGGATGATCTAAAGGCTAGTTGGATATAAAAAAAAAAAAAATTATATTAAATTAACAAAACCGAAAACTTTATATTTTTTAGAGGTTCAACTGGGTTGGTTATCAGTAGTTGTTTGATATGAAAGGACAAGTGGAAGCAGAGTTATTGAGTAAAAAAAGTTTGTTGTTGAGATTAGGGATTAGGTCTTGGTTCTAGCTAGTCTTGTAGATGGTGAAAATTGTTTTTTACAATCAACATAAAAGTATTTGTGATAAGACTTGGTTAAGTTGAGTTTAATAAGTATAGACTCTTTGTGGCAGAAATACTGAAAATTAGACCTTTTTTACAGCACATTAACGATCATCAATTCAGGTGCATCCTTTCTGAAAGTTTAAGTATGATTCTGGTTATTTTTCCTTTCAGTGCTACTGACAAAAACTTGGATACATCAAAACGTGGAGCTTCACATTCCAGAAAGAAGATGGAACAGAGTGAACTACATGTGAGAACGCAAATATCTTCATTTTGTAATCATCTCATATTTCCTTCTCACATGAAAGCCCATATAATGCTTTGAACTAATAGAGGATCGGAAGTTCAGAACCTGAGCCACGTATTTGTCACTGTGAAAAATATATCGCTTCTCTGTGTTATTTATATATATTTCTTTTCATTTGAATTTAACAGGCTTCACCACTTTCAACAAGAACTTACAGGGCACAAAGCCCTCTTTATGATCAGCCCAGTACTATCAACAAGAATGCTTCATCGAACCACCGAGCCTCTTTGGAAAAAGATGTGAGCATTAGCATAGGAAGTTATTTTTATGTTGACTGTCTCTCACTATTTTCATTGCATAATCCATCTCGAAGTCTAATTTAAGTATTAGATAATTTTAGAATTAAGCAATTGTACTATGCATATGTCATGTAAAATTTCGTCTGTACATAAATAAATCTTGCACTGATGACCTTGTTAATATGGGATGCCCAGATATCAAGATCTGTATTCTATTTCCTGTATAACTTTTAGCTACAGCATGACTTCAGTGTCTTCTGCAAATGAAATAAATTGCAGATTGAACAACTGCAATCAAGTTTGCAACAAGAGAAATCTATGCGCTTGATGCTTGAGAGAGCAATGGGAAGAGTTTCAAGCACCTTATCTCCGGGACACAGACATTTTGCTTCTCAGGTAACACTACCTCTGAGAATTTGAGTTCCCGAGACTGTTGCTAAGTTGGAACCTAGGCAACTTTTTTGGAGCATTTGCCGAATGCCAACGCTAGTTACTAGTGAAGAAAAGTAATAAAATTCTCCCAACCTGTTTGAATCTGTGTCTGCGTGTGTGATACAAAACAGCATTATATATTTTTACTTCTACTTTTCAAAGTCCGACTCCATGCTTTTCAGTCATGCAACAACATCAACATGTAATCTGACTTTTTTTTAGCCATCCATACTTAAAGAACAGTGTCATTGCTTATCATTCCATAAGTGAATCTACATGTATGACTGTCAGAGTAACTAAAAATTACATGACAGTCTTGAGATGTTCTTGTTTTCCTTTGTTCAGCTTGTAAACTAAAAACCTTCAAATTCAGATACTCGACGTGTGCTGCACTTCACTCCTATCAGCATTTCCCCCATCACCTAAATTGTTGGACATTATAAAATGCAGGCCTATAGATGCCAAAGCAGATCATCATTTGTGCTTATCGGAAATTAGTTGTTTTGAGAATACTTAGTAGAATTCTTTCTTCTAAGTAATCAGTGAACTCAGAATGTTATTTATCAAAGTGGACTTGTTGATATTTTATTGTTCTGGTTTATGGTCTAAACAGATTTCATACATAGCTTTTCTAATTTTAATTTCAGCAAAGAAACAGTGAGTTTAGGGAAAAAATAATGTGGAACTGTCTGCGTTGTGTATTCCAGACAAAGGAACTGATTGCTGAGATTGAGTTACTCGAAGAGGAGGTTGCTAACCGCGAGCAGCATGTGCTCTCTCTCTATAGGAGTATCTTTGAACATTGTGTTAGTCGGCCTCCTTCTGAACAAAGCTCAGGCGTGGCTTCTCCAGCTCATACGAAGCATGTATCTAAGAAACATCCAAGTATTATTTCAAGTGCATTTTGCTCATCAAAAAAGTTCCCTTTGAGACCTTTGCAAGCTCTTGTGTCTGTAAATGACTACGGGAAAAGAGCCTCTAAGACTAATAATGCTCCTCAATTCTATGGAAAAAGCAAAATTCACTTTGAAAAGACTTGTTCAGATCCTGTCAAGGTAGGATCTCTAATTTTGTTGATATTCTTTCTGCAAATGTATGTATCCCTCATTGTTGTTATAATGCTTTTGTTAGTTTATATTCATGCGTTTTATTAACTGATAGTTATGAGCACTCCCTATGTTCTGCCCTATGGTTAAAAAACTTCTTGTTCAATCATCAGGAAGAAGAAAAGGTTCCAGCCATGGAGAAAACTTCTATGCTACGAACTCTGAAAGATCATCTCTATCAGTGCCCAAGCAAGTTGTCCGAGGAGATGGTAAGGTGTATGGCTGCAGTATATTGCTGGCTTTGTGGTGCAGCTTCCACCAATCCTGGAAAACATCGATCCCCTCTATTGTCACGGTCATCAACTAATGTTTTACTCCCTCGATGTGGTATTGGAGAAGAATGTGATTGGTCTTGCAAGTCCATGGTTGAAATATCTTGGATATCAACTGACAAGAGCCATTTCTCTCGTGCATCTTATGCAATCAACAATTATAGGTTTGTTCTTTTAATCTTTATGATAAAAGATGATGACCTGTCATTCATTGGAAACTTTCCCTTGACTTTTGGTGGACTATTGCAGTATGATCTGAATCAAATTTAGGTTGAATGTCAGTAAAAACATCACAGCAGTTCAACTTTTACATTATCTCAAAACTGAAATCACCATTCATCCAAAAGCAAGAAAAACAAAAGAAAAGATATTTGTGTGGGATGCGCTTATGACCTAGTAAACTTGAGTTTTAGGACCATGACTTTTCTTATGAAGCTTAGTTATGTGAGTGATGACATTACTTTTGTAATGAACCAACCAGTTATACAGCTGGAAGACCTAATAAATTCTATTTGATCTGCATTGACAATTTTTTGGTTCATAAAGTGTGTCACTTCTTGTATCTAATTGGATACCCCGACTAAGAATATATGCATGAATGGATGCATACACTGAAATTTCTTTTTTATGAAATCACCTTGTTGAAGTGCTGACTTGAATTTTCATTTTCTCAATGCCAGAGTTCTAGTAGAACAACTGGAAAGGGTGACTGTAAGTCAGATGGAAAGCAATACTCGAATCGCATTTTGGATCAATGTGTACAATGCCCTTGTTATGCATGTAAAACTCACATCACTAATCAGCAGATCAATCTAAAGAATTTGTAACTATATATAACCTTCTTGGTTATTTTGCGCAGGCATATTTAGCATATGGAATTCCACGCAGCTCTTTGAGAAGGTTAGCCTTGTTCCACAAGGTAGTGCACTTCTTTATTTAAATCAAAGTAACCATATGTGGAAATAAAATTTACATCGGTTGAATATAGAAAGCATTTTGACACTTGAGAAAGGCTGAGGAGCTCTTGATAAAGATTATATTTTCTGTTTCTAGTAAAATATGCTTTTATAATTTTACTGAAGTACAAGTTTTAGCAGCATTTTTTTTAACTGAATTTCCTTTTTTGTTTAACTTGTGAATGGCAATAGAATAATCAAACCATATGTTATAATCTAAAAACTGTTTTATAATAGGACTTGCATTACAGAGAATTTGATGGTTCTTCTGTATAGTGCAGGCTGCCTACAACATTGGTGGCCATATCATAAGTGCAAATGCAATTGAGCAGTCTATATTTTGCTTCCGCACACCTCGAATTGGACGGGTATTCACATTTCTCATTTAACAAGCAACACACTTTCTCGTCCAGATAATTCTCCATATAAGGCTATTGTCATTGTTGATCAATGAGATAATTTTAATTGACCAACTACCTGAATTAAGAAAATGCTGTTATTATTTTTGAAGTGAAAGCTACTACATGACTCTTTGATCCGCTGTTGTGTATATTACAGTGGATTGAGTCCATCCTTTCAACTGCCTTGAGGAAAAAATGTGGTGAAGAAAGGCAACTTATCAGTTCAAAATTCGGTCTTCCAAACTCTGAACCACTTGCCTGCTTTGCGCTTTGTACTGGAGCATTTTCTGATCCAGTGGTAATTCCTTGTTGCATTGCTATTTTCTTTTGGTTGTCAAGTTAAAGTTAAAATATATATATATATATATCCCTTACTGATTTCACTAGTGGTTTGCACATAAGGGCTCTATTTCAGCCTCAGACTTGGTTGATTAAAAGCTTGATTGTTGGCATTTTGCAGCTAAAAGTCTACACGGCCTCAGATGTTAAAGACGAACTAGATGTTGCAAAAAGAGAGTTTCTTCAAGCAAATGTGGTCGTGAAGAAGTCGAGGAAAGTGTTTCTGCCAAAGGTGCTGGAAAGGTTCGCAAGGGAAGCCTGCATTAGTTCAGATGATCTTCTCAAGTGGGTTACTGAAAATGTTGATAAAAAGCTTCAGGAGTTGATACAAAAATGCATTGATCAGAAGTCCAACAAAAAGGCGTCTCAGATTATCGAGTGGTTACCATACAGTTCAAGGTTCCGATATGTATTCTCCAAGGACTTAATGGAGAAGCCATGGTGTGGGTGTGAATTTCTCTCTTCATGCTTAAGTTCAGGAGGAATCTCAATGTCATTAGCACAAGCCATCAAGAATTGCTAGGCAGATGAGCAACTACTTCAAAATCTTGTGATACATTTCATTGTACATCCATATCTTTAGTTGTTTCAGGGATATCCATGTGATTAGCTGATGGGATTGACTTTCACATCTTTATTCTCATAATTCATAAACACAACCTCCTTTGAGCTTAAATTAAGCATTTTCAAGTATCAGTATTTTATGACTAAAATGTTATCTAACTCAACAGGTTCTTGAAATTCATAGCCAGAAAAGAAAGAACAGTAACTAGTGGGTTTATCGCATAGTGGGAGTTCCAACTTTACATAAAGTTTCTTCAATGAAGTGTTCACAAATTTATCATAACAAAGTTGAGAAGTTGAAATTATTTCATTAAAGGAAATAAAAGCCCATTTTGCTTGCTCTAGGAAGATGTGATGCTATGCTTACTTGTCACTTGATTTAAGGTACAGCTTTAAAACTGCGCATGGCATGGCTACAATTAATTAATTCTTGTCCAACCCCATATTAATTGAGAGATTCCTCTTAAGGGTTGAATTGGTTTAGAGGATGTTAGATTACTGAAAATCTTTAAGAAAATATATTTGATTAATTGGAATAAATTAATAGGTATGTTATATTAATATATTTGGTTGAGATGAATAAATTGGTAAGTATGTTATTTAAATTACTAAATTGCCCTCTTTTTAAATATTAATATAAATTATTTTTATTATTAATTTTTGAATAATTTTTTAACCCCCAACATTTCAGATTTAGCTAAAACACCCCGCTTATATAAAACTTTAATTTATAACAAAATCACCCCAATCCATTGCCTGCCACCGCCATCCACTGTCGGAAGTTGTCGAAAGAAGCTGGAAAACACACCGTTTAGATCGAGTGACCTTGGGGTCTTTGTCAATGGCAGAGATGAGATCGGAGAGGAGATCGACGCAGAAGAGAGGTGATAGAGCGGCAGCGTGTGAGATGGAGACCAGAATAGATCTAGTCGTTAACAGTCATATGTCATCCAGATATGGTCGATAAAGGCCATGGATCTGGCCGTTAACAGCCAGATCCATTAATCTAGCCGGAAATGGCCAGAATAGATTTACCCATTTTCGGTCAGCTCTACTCTAATATGGCATTTTCATGTAAATAAATTTAAAAATAAGGGTATTATTTTCTTGAAATTTTATTAATAAAGGATATAATTATAATAAAAATAAGATTACCTTGGTAATCTTACATTACCCAAGAAAATAGAGGTTATCAGATTACCTCCAATATTATCATAAGTAACTATTATTGGTATTTGAAGATTATCGGAATCTTATATTACTTGACAACTAAACATGGTAATCAAGTACAGTAAAACCTCTCTATAGTGATACTCTATATAGGAATAAATTCTACACAGTCATAAAAAAATTTAGTCTCAATTTAGGATAGTTATAAATAAAAATAAACTCCACATTGTAATAAGTTATAATTTTTCTAATTCCCGTCTTAAGGAAAGCTAACTCCACATAGTAATAATTATTTGTATATTACCAAAATATATATGTTATGTTACATTAAAGGTTTAAAATGAAATAAAATATTTATCTAAAGTTGTTTGGGACAATGATTTATATTTTATAATTGTTACCACATCTTTTATCTTGCTAGTATGTAATAACTTGCTAGCATGAACATTTTCTTATTGAAGCCAAAATATTTTTAGCTTCTCAAGCATATTTAGAGCTTCATGGCACGAAACTTTTTGTATTTCCGTATTATCATCCTTAGGATTATTTTCTTTATCTTCTTGTCTAATTGTAGCAATGATTTCTTCTTCAGTTAAAGCATACATAATTTGTTGTTCATTTGGATGATCGAGGAAGACATTAATATACATTCAATTAGTGTAGTGAAATTGTCGAATCTGATCACTCAATTTTGCAATGACTCTTTTATTTTCCTCGTCCACTTTATTTGTAACTTGCAATTCATCGAAATCGGGGGTCCTAATTTTGCAATGCTTAAAACCATTGGCAATTATCTGTGGCGTCACATCAATTGACCATGCATCAACTGTATTTATAGTTCCATCAATAACACTTATCTTTGCTGGTTCCAAGACACGGTCTTCTATCCATTTCAAAAGTAGGCAATTAAAGGGCTGAATTGAAATCCTAATATTAATAAAATATGAATTGAAATCCTAATATTGTACTACTAAAACATGAATTAAAAAATAAGAAATCAAAACTATAATTTTTGTAACTACACCTCCACTAAGTTATAACCTCCTTATAGTAATAAAATTAATTGGTCCCACCATTATGACTATAGAGAGGTTTTACTGTAATATTAGATGACATAACCCTAATAATCTTATATAACCCCCAACCAAATGCACCCTATTTTGTAAATTCAAGAATAATTTACACACACACACACACACACACACACACACACACACACACACACACACACACACTATATATACTCTATATATATAATTAAATTCTACATAGTCATAAAAAATTCTAGTCCTAATTTGGGATAGTTATAAATAATGTTTTAAAACCCGGTCTGGCCTGGTCGGTTCAACCGGGACCTAAAAGCTTCAACGGGCCGGGTTTATATTTTTCCTATTCACCCAAAACCCTAGGATTTGAGAGGATGATCGGCGAACAATTGACGGTCGAGATATGGGGGCTTTTGAAGAGAAAGTGTCATTGAATGCAATGGTGGTGACGGAGTTGATTTCCGGTGAGTAAATCGACCGAAAATCGAACAAAACTGGGAGCGGCAACAACCGGCTTTTACCGACGATTGGTGAGGCTAACAGGGGTAGGGTGAGGTGGGTTTTGGTCAGGAGGAAGAGGAGATTAATTTCTGGGTGCTGGGGAGGGTTGTCGACGTCGGCATCAACGTCTATGAGATCTGGCTTGGAGTGCCAATGCCGGCGTTGGTGAGATCTAGCCAAAATCGAACCTATTTCGACTAGATTTTGGGTATATTTTAAGGGGAATGGGCTCAAGGGACAATTAGGGTTGCATCTAGGGTGTCGTTGCTGTCAACTAGTCGCCGACCGATTTGTATTTGGAGTGTGTTTGCTAAATTTCAAACCTATAGAGACTTTGCTGTAATTTTTAGGGGTCTATTTGTTAAATTTGAGAAGTTTTTGTCAACTAGTTTGACTGCCGGTCAAACCGGTTAAACCGGTCAACCCAGGACCCGACAACTTTGCTAGGTTTAACCCTGGGTTGAGTTTTAAAACATTGGTTATAAATAAGAATAAACTCTATATTGTAATAAGTTATAATTTTTCTAATTTTCATCTTAAGGAAAGTTCCTTCTACATAAATAATTATCTGCATATTATAAATAAATATATGTTATGTTATATTAAAGGTTTAAGATAAAATGAAATATTTATCTAAAAACAATGACTCATGCTTTAGAGTTATTACCACATCTTTTACCTTGCGAGTACGTAATACTTCGCTAGATTGGACACCTTCTTGTTGAAGCAAAAATATTTATAGCTTCTCAAGCATGTTTAGAGCTTCATAGCAAGAAACTTTTTTATTTCCATACTATCATTCTTAGGATTATGTCCTTTATTTTCTTGTCTAATTGCAGTAATAATTTCTTGTTTGGTTAAAGTATATACGATTTGTTGTTCATTTGGATGATCGAGGAAGACATTAATATCCATTTGATTAGTGTAGTGAATATGTTGAATCTGATCCCTCAATTCTGCAATGACTCTTTTATCCTCCTCATCCACTTCATTTGTAACTTGCAATTCATGACACTAGGGGTCCTAATTTTGTAGTGCTTAAAACCATTACTAATTGTCTATGGCTTCACATCAATTAACCATGGATCAATTGTATTTATAGTTCCATTAATGACACTTATCTTTGCTGATTCCAAGACACGATCTTCTATCTATTTCAAAAGTATGCAATTGAAGAGTTGAATTAAAACCCTAATACTACTAAAACATGAATTATAAATTTAATCAAAACAATCATTTGTGTAACTACACCTCTATTAAGTTATAACCTCCTTATAGTAATAAAATTAGTTAGTCTCACCATTATGACTATACAGAGATTTTACTATATATATATATATATTTATTTATTTATTTTAACTCCTTAACAAATACCAAAACCAATTCAGGCCATTGTAAAGCAACCACTCATTCTAAGAACATACAACTCATAGAATAACAAGTATATTTTAATTATGTAAAAAAAATAATTAGAACATAACAGTAACCAAAATACTTTAGAGTTTATAAGAAATAAAAATACTCCCATGAAAGACCCAATTATGAAGTTTGTACTTAAAATAAAGAAGAAATAAAGCAATAAGATTGAAATTGTCAAGAATCAATAGCAGAATGTGGGTAGCCAATGGAATTACAGAAATTGACTTAAAAAATAGAGTGGGTCACCTTTATATTTTTTACTGATTCCAAGATTAGAATTGTCAATTTTTCCTTAAGGGGGCATTTGGTTGGAGGTAATGAAAGATTACTGGGGTTATGTCATCTTATATTGCTTAATTACCATGTTTGGTTGTCAAGTAATATAAGATTATGGTAATCTTGCATTACCAATAGTTGTTATTGTTGGTAATATTTGAGATAATCTGATTACCTCTATTTTCTTAGGTATTGTAAGATTACTAAGGTAATCTTATTTTTGTTATAATTTTATCCCTTAGGGGCCGTTTGGATCAGGTTGATATTATATAACCGGGGTAATATATTTTAAATTGGGTTGATAACATGTTTGGTTGTTTTGTAAAAAAACATTTCCAGAAAAAAAAAATGTCAAACAGTGCCAAATTTCGGGTAAATCACCGGGAATAATATTACCTGGGGGAGGGTGGTATTAAAATATTACTTCGGTAATCCAAATTTATGTCCAATTTTGCCCCAAAACAGTGGACAATGTGGACGAAAATATTCTTGGCTTTGTTAATAATTACAAAACACCCAATTTGTAAAATGACAAAAACACCCCCACCCACCACAGTGCCAAATTCCGGCCACCACCGCCGAAATCTGGTCGGAATCTACCGTTACGACTCAGACTGGTCGAATTTGGCCGGTGGTGTGTCGATCTGGCCTTTTTTGGCCAG